TCTTTTTATTAAAAGAAAAAAATTTTATTTTATTCCCTTTTTGAGAATACAGACACACGGGCAACAATGTGTTAATATATGGCAGCTTTTAATGGTAAATTAAGATACACAAAGCATAAAAAGTTGCTTTGTAACCAGTGTTGTGAAAACTTCCAGATTATTAATGACATTTGTCAACTCACGCCTCTGAGCATTTCACAGTATGAGAAACTAGGCATATTGTAAGTTCCCATAACACATGCACATTCACACCTCAGTAAGCAAAATAAATAGTCAAAGACTGTAAAATATTAAAACCTTTAAGCCAGTTTAAGAGAAATCATTTTGATATTACTGACATGAATGCTATTTAGTAATCTCTGTAAGCAGAGGCAGGCCTTGAAGTGGATAGCCATGTTTTATCCTACCATTTTTAAGTACCACAAGTACCATTTGTTGAGGACCAATAATTACTATGTTCCCAACACTGTGATCAATAGATCTTTACAACAGCCCTGCAAGATAGCTATAACTGTCATTATATATAAGGAACAAAGACACGAAAAATGTTGAGTAACTTGCCCAAATATACTATTACTTGAGTGTCATAGCAGGGATTCCAACTAAAGCCCAGTCTGACCTCCAAAAGTATGTATGGTTTTTGCACTATTCCATATCGTCTCCTCCTAAAACAAATGAAATCATTCAGTCATCCCAGCTTTCCGATTCAAACAGGAAGCATAACTGAAACTGGTTCAACCAATCTAGTATGTTAGTCTGTGTTTAGGATCTTTAACAAAGCCATGATGGGTTTGCAGTGGAAGCTGAGATTCCTTGCTGGTCTGTTCCAAAGGCCAGCTGGGTCACAGCAGGGCAGCGGCTATGGCAAAACTCTTCCAAAGTTCATGTGGGCAGGGAGCTGAGCAGGCTTCCAGAGCCGTTCAGTTGAGCAGCTAACTTCCATTGGGAGCCAAAGAATTTTAAGAGTATGAAGGCAGCCCTTTCCTTGAAAAGGCTTAAGATCTCTTCTTGCCAATGCTGTGTAACTTGATTTCAATGTCTAACTGGTTTTCAGTAGTTTTAATCTCTCCTAACTTGACAGATTTTGGAGAATAACAATGGGAAATTAGAATATTTCTTACTTCCCAACTAGGGGAAATCTTTCTTCTGTATATTCTATGGCAATGGTGTAATTTTTTTTTAATCTGTAATTTCCTAGAACTGATTAGAACTAGGCTTTACATTAGGCTTTTGCCAACAGTTTTGAGAAATGAGGAAGGGAAACTGTAGAACAAACAGGTGAACTGTCACTGCTAGAAATTAATGGGAAAAAAATTCCCAAAAGTATTAATTCCTTCCCTAAACATTTATTAAGACATTAAAGTTATTTCCATGTGTTAAAACAGTCATCTCCTTTCACTTATCCAGTATATACTGATCTTTTGTGTGTTAATTCATGATCAGCCTTAAAACTATTTTCTAGTATTTTAGACATTAAAACTGACTTGCCCATTACCAGGTTTTTCCCTAAGAACTGAGTGTTTGTTCATGCATAGAGGAAATTGTATCACTAAATCATGTTTTAAAATTTCTAATAAGCATTGATTATGTGTTGTGGTTTAAATGAAGACTGAGTTAAGATATATTAAATATATAATATCTATGTAATATAAATTATATATTAACATATATTATATACATGAGACTATATAAGTCATTTTCCATTTCTGTTTCTTGGCAAGAACTACATTAGCTCTTTATATTTACTGGGATATTCAAATCTTCATTAGTTTTTCAACTTAATTTTTAAACCAATATTGCCTGACAATAGATTGAAGCATTTTTTAAGTAATTTGACTTTGAGCTAAATATTTTTACTGAATGCTTTTCCCTGTTTTTTGTCTGGTTCCTAATACGTGCATTTTTTAATTTTGGAGGGATTTTTTTTCAGTTAAAGATGATGCACACCAACACATGCACATTATATGTAAAATTCTTTGCTATGTTAACTTTCACCCCCTTCTATTTATACATTCATTTTAAGAGGGGTTTGACAGTTCAAACTAATTTGCCTTATTTTTACTTACTTGGGGGTCTAGCCTTCAGCTTTTTGTAGAAATTTCTGTTGACAGTTCAAACTAATTTGCCTTATTTTTACTTACTTGGGGGTCTAGCCTTCAGCTTTTTGTAGAAATTTCTACTTTTTTCTTTTACTATATACTATTACCCAGAATTGTTTAAATTTCAAAATGTTTTGAGAATCTTCTTAAAGTTAAAAATTATATAATATAAATATCAGCCCTATAATATGTTTTGGATTTGTTTTATTCATAGGTAATTATAAAAATGAGAATAAACAAATTCCTTGTTTCACTATCAAAAGAATGTCCTTCAGATATTTTTCTCTTCAGAGTCTTAGAAAATTTACCTAGAATAGTTAAAATAGATAATACCAAAAGAATTTCAGCATTTATCCTGTCATTGCCCCTTTAAATTGGTCCTTTAGTTCTGCTTATTTTTTCCTATCAGTGCTAGTTTGTTTAGCATCACTTGCAGTCTTTATCACAGGCAGAGGAGTATAATTGTAAAGACAACTCTAGTGTTTTAAATAAATAGATGTCTGACACACATTCTTAAGGCTTTATATAATCTACTCAAGGGAAATTTAAAACATACACAATAACATGAAAAGATACCCTGAGATTTTCATAGTTTTCAGAACTGGGCCTTGCAAATCAGGGAATGCCTTGATAGAGAGTATGAATAAAAGAGGATCTCCCCTGCTAAATACAAATTTTTTAAACAAAGGCTTCTTTCTTTTTTCAGTTACTTGGGAAGTAAGCCTAACTTCACTTTCCTTAATAATATTGGCTTTATGACTGTTAGAAAAATAATGAAATGAAAGTTTTTTTTCCTACTATAGTTAGATATGAATTTTCAAAATTATTTTTAATTTGTTATGCTGAAGATTTAAAGCATATGACCATTTCAGTGGTTTGATACAAATGGAATGTCACATTACCATCACATGGGAAGGCATGAAATTTATTTACTTTACATAATCAACCTCTACATAACACAACTTGATACAAATATTCTTAAGTCAATAGATGGCATTATGCTGTATTTAGTATTTTCATTTTTTTCTAGAGATATTAGAAAATACCATCATTGTTTGCCTATGACTGGTACTTCCAGTAAACAAAATGTTTTTGAAAAGAATGTAAGCAAATTGTAGAGCAATTGCCAAGATATGAAATCCAGACACTTAGATATGAAATTTAGACACTTAGCTTCAGTCCAAAACATATTTTATCTGTTTTGAGAATAATTGTGTAGGTTGAAGTATGCATATTTTAAATGAAATGTAACCATCTGCACTTTACATTGTTCAAAAAAGTTGATTGTTTCAGCTGTTTATAATACAAAATATTTTAGAATTTCTAGCTATGGCCTTAAAAAGAAAAAGCACAAACTATAATGTTCTGGTTTTCTTTAGCTAACTTAATGTCTTCTTACATTGTAAAATTCATCTTGGTTATAGGATTTTAAAGTTTTCAAATTCTTGGACCACAGGCCAAATTTTAAACTCCTTCTGTTCTAAGACTATAAAATATTTTGATACTGCCTTTTCATTCTAACCACCCACTGAAGTATTTTTTAACTTAAAAATATGTTGTTCTTTCCCCCACTCAGTCTTGAAAAAGTATTCATCATATCAGCTAAATAATTTTACTCCTAGAAAACAACTACCCTTTCCTTTTTTTCTATTATATCTTAACATTAAGTGATATCTCTTTTCAAACAAATGCTCCAGTTTCAAGTCACTGAGGTTTGAAGTTTAGACATGATAAATTCTAGGAGAAACAACAAAAATCCCCATATGCTTTAACATTCTCAGTTTATCCAGAGATAAAAAATAGAGATACTAGTTTTGGTGACACAAATATACATTAAGGTACAACTGTTAAGTCCTCAGCTCTTTATGAGGATTCAGCTGTCACATATGCTGTACGTAGGTCATACCTTTCCTGTTAATAATGTTAATGCTTGTTTTACACTATTCATCACTGTTTGGGGGCTGCATTTCAACTGCTTACTTAATATCTGTCTAGGATTTAAAGGAAAACAAACTGGTTTATTAGTTTTCAAAGCCTTTTAAATAATTTCTTCCATGATTTAAATTTTTTATACTTTACTAGAAGTATGATGCTTTTATCTTCTAAATAATCAGTAAAAAAAAATTTAACCATAGATTTGAACTCATTTAATAGCAATTATGTGTTTAAGAGGTGTAAATAACTTGCTATCAGACATTACAAATATCCAGGTGCTCTGTATGTGCTGATGACAACAAAATTGAAACGAAAGACTGTAATAATTCTGACTGGTTTTCTCTGCAGAAGATATTGATTATTTGTGTGTGGTGAGAGATTTGGAAAATTCAATTAAAGGAGTTGTGCAAAGGTTTCATAAATTTTCCTTCTACAGCGTGTACACAGACATTGTTGCGTATTAAATCAATGCAGCACTTCACAATATATTTTCTTTGAAACATAAAAATAAATAACATTTAAACAGTTCTGCTTACTACAGAAACAAATTTTATTTTCTGTGAAGCATTTAGTCATGTGCTATCACTGACTCATACACATTTGCCAGCTGTAACAAATTTTATAGACATTTTCTCCAGAGACATATCTCACATACTATGAATTTTTAAATGAGCAAATGGTGAAGAAGGGATGTCAGCAATATAAAAATTGATCAGTTAAAAGATAAAAGCATAAGTAAAGAGATTTGTATGGTAGTCTTAATAGGTTTTATTAAATAAAAATACTATAAAAAGACAGTAATGAACAGACTGAAGACTAACTGTTCCTGAGGTGGAGAAAAATTATTCTGGCACATTTAGTAGAAATTGATTTTATGTCACCTGACAGGTGAACATTTTTTTTCCATTTTTAACTCTTAGAGTAGTCAGAAAAGCTTCTCACAAAAGTGTTAGATAAATTCTCTAAGTGATTTTCGTTATTTTAAACACATCTAGATAATAATAAAGCAGATGTTTATAGTGTTATATAACTAATTACATAGTTAAAAGCAGGACTTGGACAATCAGCAAATATTAGGTGATTTTTTTCCCTCCAGCTCAGACCTCACATAGGAGATAAGTAGTCATTTAGTCATTTTAATTCACACTGTTCACACCATATGCTTCAGTCCTATGGAATCTTTTTCAGGACTCCAGGCCTCTCTACTGTTTCTCTCTCTACCTGGATTGCACTTTCTTGCTTCTCTGTGTAGCAAAACTGCTCATTCTTTAAGGTCAGCCTTTAATGTCACATCCTCTGAAACTCTCCCCAGCTCACCTAGGTAAAAAGCTAAACTGCATCTTCCTAGTCTTCTACAACACTTGTCTGAATGTTTATAAATGTGTGGTGCTGTAGTGTTGCAGTTATTGTAATTGTCTGCTTACAAGGCTCTTGCTGGGCTTCTCCTTACCAAACCAACAAACAGAAGTCTTACAGAGACACAGTAGCCCCAGAGCCTAGCACAGAACCTGGATAAGAGGTCCAGGGTGCATGTTCAATGAATGAATAAAAACAATTGGCCACTCTAAGAATTTTTTAAGTGAATTATCCAGATATTTTCAAATACATATAAATTTGCTCTTTCCTTTACATGTCTCATTCATTTAATGTTGAATGCCTACTAGGAGCCAGGCACTGTTCTAGCTCTGGGGATACCCTAATAAACAAGACAAACCAAGTCCTCCCCTTAGGATTATAGAATCTGGCACAAAAGACAAGTAGTTATAATAAAGCATAAGCTCACATTATAATAATAAGTTTCCTGGCAGTTTTCATCCTAAGTTTTTAAAGGTACATTCTGAAACAGAATCAGGCAAATCTGTAGGATGTTGAAACAAGAATTTACAGCCCCAGAGCTGTTATTTATAATGTAAAATAAAACTTTATGTTGAGGTTCTTTATTTTAATTTCATTTTGATTCATCATTTATTCTGCATCATATACTGTGACAATTTTAAACTGTTTTCTAAAAAAATTTTTTTCTTTCATATAGAATTGTGTCATCTTGACAGCTATGAATTCCTTAAGACCATTTTAAACTGAGGTATTGTTTCACCTTTATAATTAAGTTTAGCTTTGTTACGTCTCACTGTTTTTTTTAGGTGGAAATATTTTAATTATATTATCAAATGTAATGTTGTCTGTCTATAAAGAAAATAGGGACATGAGCTTTAGTTGAAATTATATTTAATCTATCCTTATAATTAATAGGAGGGTAATCTGACAAGATCGGTGGTTAGAGGCTGATTGAAAAAGAACAATGTTGAGCCTAGCAGGCTAGTTTTCTAAGAGGGCATGTTTTTTAGTGAGTATAAGGAGGGCCCTTTATTGTGTACCTTTAGTGAAAACAGCTAACTAAATACTGACAGGTGGGTTAGAGTTTCTGTAGAACATGTCTGACTGAACAAGATACAAGTCTATTTGGAAATGTGCTGAATTGATTAAGTAAATAATTACATATTAATTAGTTGTACCTTTCCTTCAAAATAGTTCCTGTGGAATCAGCAATAAAAATAAAAATGATACATTGATAAATAGCTTACTTACTATAACATCTTAGCTAGAAGCATTATGAGTCATAGTGTAATATTAGTGTATAGTGTACCTGTGACTGAAGGTTCACATTAAGAACTAGCATTATCCCAGCCTTGGTAGCATCAATATTAAGATTTTTAGAAGCTAACTAGATGTTGCCTGCTATCTCTTTGAAAAATTTAATGCAAAATGAAAGAATTCTATTCTATAATGAAAATACCTTTCTTTGTAAATGGTTATCTCAAGGGATTAGTATCTTCCGAACAAACTAGCTGTTTTTAAAATATTTAAAAACCATCTTCCACAGAAAATTGTGTCACTTTCAAAACATTCATTCTGTAGTATACAACAAATAATGGCTTATCATAAGAGCTACCTTTTATCGAGCACTTTCAATGTCCCAGGCACTGTTGTAAGCACTTTATACATATCCCATTTAACCTTCACAACTATTTATATGAAGTAGACAGTCGTTATCTTTGTTTTATAGATAAGGAAACTGAGGCACAAAGAGGTTAAGTACCTTGTCCCAGAATCACCTATGAGACAGAGCCAGGGTACTAACCTGAGTAGTCTGTAATCATCAATGAATGTCAGGTCTCATGACTGAGCAAGAGTTTTAGATCCTATGAAGTAGTAAGCATATAAAATAGATACACAAATACACATAGTCATTCATTATAGGGTTAAGTGTTTTATAGCATTTCTGACCCATGGAAATCCAACAGAGAACTTTTAGATGGTGATCCTAAATACATAGTTATTCACATTTGGCAAATGAACAAACACATTTAGTATGTGACAGTCTCATTAATGAACTTTTGGGAGATTTAAGAGTACTGAGAATAGCTTTGTGCTCATGGATTCTAGTAAAGATCATCACACGTTAGGGGTGTTCTTCTGAGTCTTTAATTTGAGTAGTACTTTCAGAAAACTTGAAAGAATTAAGGTGGACTTACCAGCCAACTTTCCTTTTAGTGGGAAGCAACAGAGAAAAATAACAGTGAAATGAACTTGACTTTACCTTTGAGGCATTTCCCAGGGTTCTTTTGATTGTATTTTCTTCTCACTTTGGGTGCTTTTTTTGTGAGCTCCTCAATGCCTTGACTTTTTTTTAAGTTCTCACCTTAGTGTATATGGTTTCCAAATCTGTTTGTGACTCTCCTTCTGAGCTGTAAACTTATACTCTCAGCTCCTGTACATCGCTCCCCCCACCTCCACCCAGTTGTTTCTCCTTGTACCTTTCTAGGGATTACATTCATCCAGTGATAAGGCTCAGCACCTTAAAATTCTGTCTCTTTTTGTCTCTACAACCAAACTGCCACGAAGTCCTATCACCTCCCAAAACGTTTATTTCTTCCCATGCCCACTGTACTGGTTCATTCCTTCATTACCTCTCATCCAGATTATCTGCATCCTCATTGTAACCTGTCTGCTCTTTGGTCTCATTCCCCTTTGAGTCTGTCCTGCTGGACAAATTATGCTTTAGAAGGTATCACTCCACCATATTCATAGTAAAATCCAAATTTATACCAAATTCAGAACTCTCCTTGGTCTGACCATAGCTCACCTTTCTAATTTGTCCTTGTACCTTAGTCACTCCATTACTTGCCATTCATTCTTAGACATTCTTAGACTTTCTTCAGAAAGTACCTTCTCATTTCCTTACCTTTGCTCTTGTCTCCTCTGCTTGGCATACCTTTTCCCCATCATCAGAATTTTACCCATCTTTCAAAACTGCTCGTAACTCACCTTACACTAGGTTTCGTCAGATCCCTCTCTTGCATGCTGTTCTTTTATGCATTTGTCACAGCTGCCCAATGATATGACTAAGGGAAGATATTAAACTCCCTAATCTTGTCCTGTGCCCCAAAAACCTCTGACAGTCACAGTACTCCTAATACCACCATGGCCAAATTTTGTCTGCACATCAACTCCTGCCCTCCCTCACACTTCAGTGATTATTCCTCCCAACGCATATTGTTCAGTGGGGGTAAGCACCCCATATAAATTCACTCCCAGAGCCTTTAAAAAGTGAAGCTTTTAAAAACAATATTAGAATAAGGGAGACTGTGAATAAGGGATATGGCAACTGATAGGCCACAGACAGTATGAAGACCAGCAAAAGGGGTGGAGAAGGCATGATTTGGGCTAATGTTAACAGACGATACTGTAGAGGATGCTGAGATACATTATCTAGAAACAGTATGGACAGATCACTTGGTTAACAAGTGTGAGGCTTAGTATAAACAAAACGCTTTGCATAATGCTCACCTAGTATTCAAGCTAAGGATATAAGATTTATATACGTGAAACAATAATATAAGGTAAGCTGTGATAAGTGATACAAGTTCAGACCCTTCTTTCCAGGAGTCTGGCCAATAGCAAGTAGAAAAAAAAGATTATGAGTCTAATAAGGATCAAAGTATCAACTTGATTAGTGGAGGAATTAATAACCTCCAACATGGCAGGCTCTCTAGTAGAAGCATGGGGTAACTAATGTGGGTTGTGTCTGAGGCAGAAGTAGACCCTCTCTCCTATGCTGAGTCTAAATCCTGAACCCCGTGTACTCTCCTGAACTTGAGAAGAAAGTTGGATCTTTGAAATAGACCCACGTCCATGTGCCTCTGTAACAGTAAAGACCACAGACCTGTCTGGTTGCTGATGAGACAGACAGAACGTGCTGGTCTCCTTACAGCATGAAATTAGGAACCACAAAGGCCCACTGGACTTGAGAGTAGACAGTGAAAGGGAAACTAAACAGTGGGGAAGAGTGCTGTGTAAGAATAGTGACAGAACATGACTAGTGAAGTGTGGACTGCTGTTCTGGACCTCAGTCAAATTTGTCAGTCTTCCATGGGCTACAGACAGCAGAAGAGTTGACAGAAGCTTCTTTCTCTTCAGAGTGAGGGGCTAAACATTCTGCTGTAACTACAAGTGAAGAATAAGCAGTAGTATAGGATACACAGCGTAGACCACCTCACGATGGCGTGGATAGGGGATTATTTAAGGGTTCATGATTTTAAAATCACTTCTAGTTATTCCGCTCTATATTATCTCTCACAGAGCACCATCCAGACCCTAGTAATGGAAACTTTGTACTTTACCAGGAAGCTGGAACTTGAAAAGTGGGTAATTTTGATGGCTGTGTAAACATACTAGACAGAAAGAACAACATGAACAAAGGAGGCAGAGAAGCACAATGACTGAACAGCAGATTCCAGCCATGTCATTGACAGTTACGGTCTCCAGGCTAGTAAGTTCAGACTTTACTCATTAGGAAGAAATGGACCAGGGAAGATTATTAGGGAAGTAACAATCCAAAATAAGTTTTAGAAGGAATATAATTGCTATGTGAAAAATGACTCCTGTCAAAATACTACTCATGAACTGCATCACTGTATCTAAATTTCTTTTCATTTGTGTTCTGAGATATTCATTTCCAGAGCCAGTATGGCCATGTAGAGACAAGACATGCTGCTGCCCCCTACTCTTGTGCTGGGATACACATCACACTGAGCAAAGCATTTATTTTTGCTGGAGCCTGAGTTTGGCCTCAGAATCTTTCTCAACACAGCGGTCCTGGGAGCCATGACCAACTGATGACACTTCTGTGCAGGCCCTGGCCTTGTAACAGAGAACGAGATGTGCACTAGGTGTCCAGCACCGGCTCTGCTGCCCACTTGGGCTGTGTGGCCTTAAACACAGCACTCGGTTCCCCAGAACCTTAACTATAAAATACTTAACTTTGATGATATTTACCTTGTGGATTGTATAAAATAATTGGCTTAATTAGTACCTCCCCATAGTAACTATTTAATAAGTGGAAGTCTTCCTTTCCTCCATAGTATTATCATTAGTTCTGATAACTGTATCAACAATGCTTAAAATCTATAGGTAGTCAGACCAGACTCAAATGAGTTGGCAAAAATTGGTTGTCAAGTTGGCAACCTATCTTCTTGCAGGACAAGAATATACGTGGACTGTCACGAATAGGGAAATATAGGGGTGCACCATGTATTGCTTATTCATAGCTGCCAGCATAAGCAAAGAAAGGGATATTTCAGGAAGTGAAGAGTCCACATGCCCTATGGGACTATATGCCATCAGTTGCCATTGGCTGCTTTTTTCAAAGGCTTCCTCTCACACAGGGTCCTAAGGGCAAGAACTTCTACCACCACCAGGAGTCCCCAGAGGGACATACTCTGAATAGGAATGTCAGTAAAGACTGTCTTTTTTTGGGGGGCAGCTGTTGAAGGAAACACCTGCTGAAAGGCCCTTAAGCTTATAGACAAAAGGCATGTAAGATTTGGTGTTTTCAGTAGGTCATGTTGGAGTTTTAGAACTTTCCCAGAAGTATCTCAGGTCCATCTTCACAGAAAGTGAAGAGTGCTATGTCAGAGTAGTCATACTGACAATTATTTGTGAAGGTGAATCTTGCTTTGAAGACTGAAAAATGAGCAAATGAGAGATTATCAGTACCTAACTAGGCACCAAATTACATAATAAATTGGTGTTTAAATCATTTCTTAAGTCATGTATGAGATGCATGTTAATTTGGAAACTAATTCTTGATGACTTAATAATCATCTTTTATATCCTGCAGGCATTTAGAAGCAATGCACTCCCTATGAACGCCAACTTCTGTATCTGCCTGATCGTATTTAAAGGAACAGAAGAAATGTTTGTAATTAATCTGCCCAGTAAATACCAGATCATAGCACTAGGCAGGTGCGTATCTAGATGAAATTTCTTGCAGCTAATTTAAACTTTCTACACACACCAGTAGATAATCTCAATGTAAATAATACATTTCTTCTTGACCCTTTCAAGTAAGCCAACATGTAGAAGAGGATCTTGACTTATATACTGTATCACGTGTACTTCTGTATACTTTTAGCATTTGTGGATAGATTTAATAAAGCATTTATGAAAATGGCATCTTTGGTAGAGCTGTATATTTTAAAACTCAGATTAAATCTAATGGTGAGTGGAATTGGGTACCAGTTTTCCCATTTAAAACCCCAGATGTATATTAGTCAGATTCTTTTAAAAACTTTAAAAATTTATCTAGAAGTTTATTGTGTAGCCATTATCTTAAGGGTGAGTTTTTATTATATTCTAGTTAGTCCAATGCTTATAGAGAAAAATATTTTCAAAGTTTAAAAACTTTAACATCTCATTTTATAAAATATTGGAATACACTTTTCAGTATAGACATTTAAGTATGAAGTTGTTTTTACTGAACTACACAGACTCTACTGAATTTAAAGAAAAGACCTATCTTATGGGGCAGTGTGTGACCCCCTTCAAAGTATGCTGAAGCACTGTTTTAAATTTATTATCTATGAGGTTGTTATGTATCATCATCTGTGAAGAGGGAATCACAGAATGTGTTAAAACTTAATGTGTTTTTTAAAATTTCTAGACTTTTCTTTAAATTTCTAGACTTTTCTTTGGCCATTTACACAAGGAAAAAAATGCTGTTCCTTTGGTACTTGCCCTGACTCTTGACAAAATTTGTGTAGAATATTACTGTCACTTAATTCACTGTATCATGAAAATAAAAACACTATATGAAAATCTGAAAACAAAATTTAACAAATTAAGTTTGAAAGTAACTAATTTTCCATTTAGGGAAATTTCAGATTCACCTTTTAAAATGAAAATTATTTTTTAAAAGCTAATTGAAATGATACTAAACAGTAACCCAATTAATTAACCTAATTGCCCTCACTAATGATTTTATTGGTACTATTTAAATAAGATTTTTAAGAGGACCTGCTAAATATTAAGAATACTTTGTGATGCAGTCCTCATAATAGGATGTTACCTAATATACCAAAAAAGGATAATTCCTTTGTGTTCCAGCACTGAAAACTAACCTTAGAATGTAAGGCAAAACATATAAAAAAGCTTCCATTAGTCAGGAAACACAGGGTTAAGAAGTAGATTGGTTTCATACATAATCCAAGTTATTTAGGTATGTGCTTAATGCTATTAAGTCAGTTACTGTATATTTGACCTCTTGGTATACTAAGCTTTTGTCTTTCAGAACAGCTGGGTCTGCTAAGAATCATTTCCCAGTTCTCTTCATTGTAGATCAGATGATTCTCGCTTTATCACCCTTGGAGGCCACATGAAGGACAAAGCAGAAAGATCCACACACAAAACTAATGTTTATATGGGGGGAGGGGGGAACAGAAGGCAGTGGATACACTTGGCCCTGATCTTCCAATGAACATAACAGAGGAGAGACCAATTGAGACTTAAAACCATTGTGTTACTCCAGCCATTATTTAGTTACATCCTATCCATCTCTTACTCTCCTTCTATTGAACAGAGAGGCTGCCCTGACTTTTGTAAATGTTTCAGTCACTTAGTTGTGGTTTATCATTTGGACAGAATGCTACATCGGGGATTTTTCTCCCCTCCCTAAGGCTTGAAGGGAAAATGACTTCTGTTGCTTCATATTTGATACATGAACATACACCCTATTCTTTTCATTTTAAGAAGCAAAGCTAAGTTGATTGGCAACAGAGAAAACTGCACTTTTCAGAAACAGCTCTTCCCTCTAAAATGAACTTGAAAATAACTTAGAAGAGTTCATTTTTTGACAGGTATATTTTAGTGAAGAAAGTGAGAATTCTTTAATATTTTTGTGTTAAGCTAAATATCTTTAAATTAAAATATCCCTGTAATCCTGAATGTAGCTAAGAGAAATGCTTTGGAATTGCCTATTTCTGTGATCTTAATTCATCACTAAACATTTTTGGTATTTTGGTACCTCATCCCTCAAAGTTCACAGTGGGCTCTTCTTAAACTGGTTTTCAATATATATGAGATACTTGACTTTAAGATAATTGCTACAAGTCTCTGTTAAAGCTACAGTGTAACTCAGTATGATTAGATTAAATCATCTGGAAATGTATTTTTATTTAGAATTTTATCTATAAGATACCTTGATTATGGGTGCATTCTATTTTACTGTTTATTTAATACTTTCATTTTCAAATAATGTTTCTTTATTCCAACTATTTAAAGGTTAGAACTTCCTCATCAGTGATTTAAATCAACATCTTGTATTAAGTGCAAGTATGTGATTACAAAAAATAAAAAAAAGACTACACCAGCCAGCCAAGATGCTGACATCTGGGCACAGTGATTACAGATGGTGACCATGGACAGCGATGTTCCTGCTGATTCGGCAGCCATTCAAGGCTGCTTTTCTGTGCTGACCTGCCCTTTGAGTCTTTATGCACATTTGCTTTGAGAAAGAAATACTTCTTGATTTTTTTGCTCTGTCTAAACCGACTTCCTTTATCAGACTTAAAAATATATTCCTTGTTGCATCAGCCTGTGGCTTTCCATGTCTAAAACCAAATTTTCTTTATGCGTATATATGTGTTTGGCTTACATTATTTTAAAATAAACCACCACTTAGTTATTATGCTTTAATGGCTATCTTATTAAAGAAATATATTCATTAAAAACATAGGTTGATGGGAAAATGACTGTTTTATTTTTATTACAGAGACTAAAGAAGACACATCTTTACAAGAGAACATGGCTATAATAAATTATTTTTACTACAGTAAAGATGGGCTTCTTCCAACACAGAGTGATACAGCATTAACAGGGCTAAGTTAACATGAAGATGATATGGATCAATGCTTATGGCAGCCCTGAACCGTGTCCTAATTAAAAAACAGAAGGATGAACTCTTGTTTAAGGCCATTTAACTTAAACAGAATGATCCTGAAAGTTTAGAACTAATGATCATGAGTAATTAAAAAGACTTCACTCAAACCACTTAGATTTAAATCCAGGAAAATTCATCATTTAATTGCATTCAAGTAAATCAGAGTTCTTGGAAATAAATAAGAACACAGTTTTAATCTCTCTGCCTTCTTAAAAAAAAATTCAAATTTGCACTTGTAGTAAGGCATGTTCAAACTTTAAGCTTGTTTAAATTGCCTTCTCATTGTAAGTTAAAAGATTATCACAAGTTTAATCCCTGAGATATAATTTATAAAGAATGAAACATACATTATTTGCATTCTAAAATGTAAGGGAAACTAAACCTGAATACCAAAAACAGTGATTTCCTTCGAAAAGAAGAGCTAAATTCTCCTATTAAGCTCATTGTATTTGCAGATTTTTTTCAAGACAACAAGTTATAGAATATATTTCCTAAGTAAACACTGGTATTAAGGGCATTTTTCTCTTATTTTCCCATGTGAATATTAATAAAACTACAATATGTCTTGGCCACTCAGTAGTTAGAAAATAAAACCCTCCATTGCTTTGGTCCCCATATACATTTATTTTGTGTAGACGACAGTGACTTTTCACCATTTCCTTTCCTATAATTCCATGATTCTCAAGATGATCATTTCATTTATACACAACCAAAAAAGTTCACAAGACCTTGCAGCACTATGAACATTTCACATTGTGGGATATAGCTAGTTGATTTTCTTCGGATTTCTTCCATTTTTGGAATCCCACATGATGATAATGTTAAAGTACACCCAGAAGAACAGGAAGTTTAAGCAGGACACAAAACACACCAATACAGAAAATAGGTCCGGTAGTCTCTGAGGAGGATCCAGTGTGACAGTCATCAGTGTCAGAAGGACCATGGTGATTACTGAGAAAAGGAACTACAAAGAGGGAGAAAAAGTGTCACTGCATAGTATGAAAGATAAAATTTAAATGTACTGGTAACGTTGATTTGTAGTTGTAAGTGAGCAGAATTAAAGGGGAGAGAGTTGGGGGTTCAGTCTCTTCTGATGGATCTCAACCTAGGCTGTATGAGTTATCTGGGTTTTTTTAAAAACCTCAATTCTCAGACCACACCCCAGACCAATTAAATCAGAATTTCTATGATAGGCCTTAGCATTTTTTAAAGCCCTCCAAGTAATTCCCTAGTGTAGCCAAAGCCTCTCTTACTTTTCTTCAGTGCCCGGGTGGTAAGAAAAGCATCTGGAACAGATAATATTTGCTAGCTGGGGTTAAATTCACAGCATGCTCCAGGCCCTGAACCCTTATAGGATATAAAACTCTAAGATAATCTAAGAATTCATCTGTGAAAAAGTTTTCTACAGCAAATGCAAAATTACATTTCATAGTCACAACGCTTTTAGTGAGCTAGTTCTGTATTAAAGCGTGGTGGGGCATGTGAAAAAAAATGTACTCTGGCCTCAAAGAGCTTCCAATTTACGGGAATGCATAATTAAATAAAATCACAAAGTCACATTTCATTAAATGCCAAAATGAGTAGTAGAAATAATTATTGCATTTATTGTAATTGTGTAGCAGTTTTCTTCTCTAGACCAGTAAGTACACTGTACCACAGAACCTTCTGCGGTGATGGAAATGTTGTATATCTGTGCACTACAAAAGAGTAACTGCTAACCACATGTGGCTACTGAGCACTTGAAATGTGCCTGCTGTGACAGAGGAGCTGATTGGGGGCGGGGGCAGGGGAGGTCATTAGGTCTATTTATTTATTATTGGTTTTTTTTTTTAATGGAGGTGTTGGGGATTGAACCCAAGACCTCGTACATGCTAGACATTTGTTCTACCACTTGAGCTATACCCTCCCCTCAGGAGTTGAATTTTTAAGCTTAAATCCACAAATGTCTAATGTCTACCATCTTGAACAACACAGCTGTAGACTGTGAGACAAAGACCAGCCAGACAAGGACACAGAAGCTGCTTAAGTAAATGTAGAAAGCAAGCAATGAGAAACAGTAGGTGACTTTCCTGGAGGAAGTTGGACATAAACAGAGCCCTAAAAGATGCTTTAAAGGCTATATTATGACACAGCTGGTAAGACCTGGAAAGAGAGTAACACAGTGATCATTCTAGATGAGAGAGTGGGAAGGATGGAAGTCAAAAAGGCTTATCGACAGGTATAAACCGGTTTCAAGTATCCTCCAAAGGGGAAATCTGAGTCAACCTTGAGAGGGGATACAAATTTCTGAAGTGAAATCATCAAATTAAAAGTTTCAAGCTTAAATATGGCACTGATTGAAATGTCATGATACTATGATCCTGAATACAGTGTTAAAAGACATGCTAGAATTCTCTCATTTTAAACTCGAGCCATTACCCCCATTTGTCTGCTCCTATTTACAACGAAGTTTCCTACGAGAATTACCTGTAACTCGTGCTGTCCAATTCTCCCGTTCACTGGTGAGCCCACACCAAGCAGGCTTTCATCCCAGTCACTCCAGTAAAGCTCCCCTGGCAAGTGATCCGTAATGACCTCTGCTGCACTAAATCCGATGGTCAATTTTTATTCTCTTATTTATCTCCCAGCAGCATTTTAAATAAGACATCACTCCTATCTCCTTGAAACCCTTCCTTCACCTGGCTTCCATGGCACCATACTCTCCTGGTTTCCTCCCACCTCACTAGTTAATCCTTCTCAGACTTGCTGAATCCTTCTCAGCTTATAATCACACCTTTGGTGAGCTCATCCAGGGATGTGACTTCAATAACTATCTATACATTGAGGACTCACATTGCTATCTCCAGCCTGGACCTCTCCCCTAAACTCCAGATTCACATATCCAAATTCTTAATATCCCCACTTGGGTAGCTAATAAGCATCTAAAACTAAGTATACATATAAACTATCTTCAATAATGATGACTTCTCATCAGAAAATATGGAGGCCATAAGGCAGTGGGATGGATGCAAGTCAAATTGCTGAAAGAAATAGCAAATATACTCTTCAAAAATGAAGGTGAAATTAACAAAAAGTCAGTACATTTGAAAATACTGAAATAATACAAAGGATGTTCTCCAAATACATCAGAATTAAGTAGTCAAGGAAATCTCCAAGTATTTAAGCACACACAAATATATATATATCAAAATTTATGGAATACTGTCTAAAAATGGCACAAGGGGTATATATAGGTTTGAATGACTGTATAAAAATAGAAGAAATCAACCACCTGACACAGAACACAGAAAAATAATAGCGAAAATCAATGACTAAAAAGTTGGTTCTGAAAAATAACAGTGAAACCAACAAACTTTAGCTAGACTGACCAAGGGAAAAAGAGGGAAGGTACAAATTCCCCAAGTCAGGAATGAAAAGGGACATCACTCCTTATCATACATAAAAATAAAAGATAAGGGAAATTTATGAACGGCTGTAATCCAACAAATTGGATAACAGATGAAATGGACAAATTCTCAGAGACACCACTGAAATTGTATAAAGAAATAGAGAAAGTCTGAATAAACCTAAAGCAAGAGATTGAATTATTCATCTTTTTTTAAACTTAAGTATAGTTGATTTACAATATTGTGTTGTCTCAGGTATATAGCAAAGTGGTTCAGATATATATTTTTTCAGTTTATTTTCCAGTATACACTATTACAAGATATTGAATATAGTTCCCTGTGCTATACTACTGTAATCCTTGTTGCTTATCTATTTTATTTATATTAGTTTGTATCTGTTAATCCCATACTCCTAATTTATCCCTCCCCCAAGAATTAATCATCTTTAAGGTCCCACAAAGAAAGGTCCAAGAACAGATGACTTCACTGGTGAATTATACCAAATATTTCTAAACGAATTAATACCAGTTCTTCATAAACTCTCCCAGAAAGTGGAAAAAGAACACTTCCTAACTCATTCCATGAGGCAGGTGTTAACCTGATTCCAAAATCAAAGACATCACAAAACTACAGACTAACATCCCTCATAAATATACGATACAAAAGTCTTCTACAAAATACTGGCAAACTCAAACCAATGGCATAAAAAAAGATGAGTTTATATCATGATTAAGTGCATCCCAAGAATGCAAGGTTTAGTTCAACATACAAAAATCAAACAATGTAACATACCCTATTGATAGAATAAAAGGGAAAAACCACATGATCTTATCATCAGACATAGAAAAGGCATTTGGGTGTACAAGTCCCACAACTACATCATAGTTAATGGTGAAAGACTGGATGATTTCCCCCTAAAATCATGAAGAGAAGATGTCCACTCTCGCTCGCTCTTTCAACACTGTAGTGGAGGTTCTAGCCAGAGTAAGTAGGCAAGGAAAAGAAATAAAAGACATCCAGGTTTGAAGGGAAG